ATCCCGAAAAATGGAAAATAAGAATGTGAAATGTGGGCATACCCCCAACATGCAGAAATAGCAAACCCAAATGCGATAAAAGACTACATATGAAAACAGAGAAGATCCAAGATGTGATTGAGGTGGGATGGATCAATCCAGAACCCCAAACAACATCAAGCATATAAGACGAACTAAGAAAACCCGTAGGTAGGTAGGACAAGTAAAAGATGGAAGATTGGCAGACATGTAAAAGTATAAAGATGACAATATCTCAGAATGAAACAAAAAAAAATTAATATAGCATGGCAGATACCCCACATGATGCTAAATGTACAGTACCAATGACCGGTGGAGAAAAAGATCTGACTGTAAGTCCCTATTAGCCGTGGACAGGAAACAAACAGCAGTGTCCCACCCAAGAAGTTCCCAAAAGGATAGAAGCCACATGTGGAGGGGAAGGATGAAAGATGACAACCCCCCCTTCCCAACATGGAGGAAAGAAGGAGGAGATATCTCACAAAAATCCCTACATACAGGTGGAACACCTAAGAAAGGAATTGGAAAGTTAACATTACCCATAGGGGAGCATATGTGGTAAAATGAAACTGAACAACTAGGTATGGCAGAAAATGGAAAGGATTAACAGAGATATGAAGGACATAAAACCAAGAAGGAAATACGCCTGATGGTAAGCTAAGGCAAAAAGAATTAAAGCCTGTATATGGCGGGGTTTGCATATACCAAATCTCACAAGAGACAAAAAATAATAATAAAGAAACAATGTCAGGAGAAGGGAATACACTGTGAAATGTGTCTAAAACAAGACAAAGCAGAGATAGGCCAAACAGATTCTGCAGTAGAGGCCTGGAATACAATCCATGATATGGTGGAGGAAAACAGAAAGTATGGGAGGTAGGCAAGTAATATTGGAAGCAGGTAGGGTGGACCTCAAGCTACAGGGGTCCATTCATACGAAATTAAGGGTAAGATGTATAGAGTATAAATTAGATTAAATGAATGGTAGTAAATGAACAGACACTTATTAAGCTTAAGCAAACAAGATATTTAATGTAATTAGCAATAATCCTCAAGTCAAACTACAAGTAAACCGAAAATACCAGACATGTATTAAGCCTAATCGAACAGTGCAGAACAAAGGATATCACTGAGCTTAAAAATAAAAAATCTTAATCTAACACTAAGTATAATAACGAAAATGAAATAAACAGGAATTTATAAATGAAATATGTGTGTGTATAAACAATAAACTATGTATAAGACATGATGTATGGAAGAAAACAATATAGTTAAATGAATGATTGATATCCCAGTCATATGAATTTCAGGTAGTCCTAAAGTATCAAAGACCCTTAGTATCAGTGGTATAGGAGAAAAGATACAACTAAGCCTAATTTCGAACCTGAGCTGGACTACGAGTATTGACAAAACTAATAAAACTTGTATTATCAAAGTTAACATTTTTCCAAAATTGAAAATTTATTTCGAATACTACTTACCTCCACTAATACTTATAGCTATTACTCGACCTCCAGGATTTCTTCTTTGCCCATCTAAGCATTGGTTGGATTTTTTCTCTCTTGCTTCAGTATCTTATACCCTACTCAACTGCCTTTGGCGATATTTGTTTGGTGATACTCTCACCTATGTCAATGCACCCTCTATTCTGGTACTGTATATAAGCACTTCATTCAGATAATTTTATCACTTTTTCGACATTGATACCATCCCAGTCTCTAACACCAACTCTTAGTGAGGAGGAAGAGCAGGAGAGTGTCAACAGAGGGAAATACTATTGAAAATAGATTTTCAATTTGGGAAAATGTTAACTTTCAAAAAATACTTACCTCCACTAGCACTAGAATCTCACACTGAGAAGGTGGAGGGGTTAGTGAGGGCATTATCCATATGGATAGCATCTGCATTGATCAAGGGTGTTCAAAGATAAGAGTGGTACCCAAGTGAGGGAACCCCACTACATCCAGAACAGGTTGCTCTTCACCCAGAACTTAGTTCCTGTATCAAGGGTGGAATAGTGCATGAGTAATCATCACTATATTCACCAGAGGAAGAAACAACCAGATCATGCAGATAATGAGTGACAAAGGTATTGAGAGTTGTCCACATACCAGCCTGGATTTTTTCCAAGGGGAGGTGAAGGTGAGCAGCTAAAGACCTGGTAATGTGACAAATTTGATGTGAAGATACATTGTGGAGACAGTGATCTTTCATGGACAAGTCTGAATACACCATCCTGATGAGTTGACAAACCCAACCAATGAGTTACTGGAAACATATCACGGGAAACAGAAGGGTTCCAAGAAATAATTAGTCAGGAATGTGAACCCCGAAAGGAGGCAGTGTGAGCCACATAACAACTAAATGATTGAACCAGACAAAGAAACCTATCCAAAGCAGAATGTGAGTACAGGTGGGAAATCAAAGGTAAGGAAATGGGTGAGAAAAACAAACCACCTTCTCGGGCCACACAGGTCTTAGCGGAAAGGGTTGGTCAGGGTAAAGGATCACACAAGAGGAATTGTAAAGGATGAGAGAAACATTAATGGCATAAATACTGGAATGACAGTGTCCACAGGCAAGGAGGAGAAGGAAATAGGTCTTAAGGGAAAGATAGCACAAGGAACATGTAGCAAATGGTTCAAAGGTAGAATGAGAAGAGGCATAAAGGGCCACATTAAGATACTAATCTGGTACAACAAAGGGATGTAGAGGAGGAACAATATGAAAAAAAAAGGAAATGGATGGAAATGAGAGCGGAGGAGAAAACATGACAAAACCAGGAAAAATGGAAGGTGTTTGATAGGTCTGTCCAATAACTAGACACAGTCAAAACAGACAAGCCCTGGTCAAACAACCATGTGAAGAACAGAGGAACAGAAGGACTGGAGGGGCAGAAGCCATGGCAAAGAGACCAACGTTGTTGGTAAATGGTCAAGGAAGAAGGTCTGATGGTTCAGGAAAGATGCTACATGAGGAGTCAGTTCCTGGGTTGAGGCAAAGAACCGGACAAAAGCCAAGTGTGAAGACAGAGTTTGGTGATGTTGGGATGAACTATGTCCAATTGAGGTTGACAGAGGTAAAGACAGGGGACATTGCATAAGTAAAGGCTGTGCGGGTGAATATGGAGCAACCAGCAGGATGACACAAGGGGTGGTCTGGATGAGAGATAGAGACTTGGATTGGAGGGTAAGCATAGATGTGAAGACCCATCCAATCTTGACTGACTGAGTCTACACCCAGAGCTGAGGGGTGTGGAATGGGAGAACAAAAGGAAGGAAGTTTGGTGTTCCAGTGTGTGGCAAAGGCATCAATAAACAGTTTCCCCAGTTGAGAACACACCCACCAAAATACCTGTGGATGAAGAGACAACTCCATTTGAAGAACCTGATTGGATGAAATAAATGATTTGCAACATGGCCCCAGGAACATGGCACCCTGTTGTAATGGTGGGACCAGAAATAAAATCCAGAGTCTGAAAACACAAAGATCTCAATTTATTTCCATCTTTCTTAGTGATATAATTGACAACTTTGGAATTCCCATAGTGAACCATAAACATCCACCCACACGGGAGTGGAAAAAAATGGGTCAATGCCTGACAGACTGCCAAAAGCTTGAGGATGCTTATGTGGAGTGCAGACTCCTCTAGAGACCACAGACTGGAAATCTTGTAAGAGTTGAGGAAAGCCCCCACCCCACCAAAGATGCATCCATGAACAAATGTAACTCAGGATGAGATAGAGGAATGGAAACCCCCACTGTGGTCTGATCTTTGTCGAGCCACTAAGCTAGGTCCATATTGATCATGGAAGAGTAACGGGATGGTCAAACAAATCCAGAGAGAAGTTCCACTGATCGAGAAGAGTCCACTGATATGGATAATGCATATGAGCTCGACTCATTGGAATGAGAGCTTCAAAGGAAGCCCAGATCCCCAAAAGAGAGAATTTATTGAGCCATGAGAGAAGGAGAGATAAGGGCCTTTGTAACTACCTATTCTATATTCCTGAGATGAAGAAGAGAAGGCTGGGCCCAACTGAGGTGCGAATTGAAGAAAATTCACAAATGAATCAGGTATAGAGTGGGGGTAAAACCAGACTTCTCTAACTTGATCAGAAAATCAACCTGTGCTGCTTCTTGAAGAAGCAAACGTATGTGATTCATTGATTGTGAACAGGAATAGATAAGCAGGAGCCAATCTTCCATAATATGATGAGTGCAAAGACTTAGTGAGTGAAGGTGATGAGCAAACCATTCCACAATACACATAACAAGCTGAAGAGAAACCAAACAGCAGTGTAACTGAAATGCTTGACCCTCATGGACAAACTAAAGAAAATGACGTGACTCTGGAGCAAGGGGAATGTGAAGGTAGGCATCCATCTCATCAAATTTGGTCATCCAGAGTCCTGAGGAAAACACTCACTAAAGTGAGAGATAGGACTTCATGGTGAAGCGAGGTTTCTATAATTGGTCTCTAGTTGGCTGTCTCTTTGGGGACCACAAAGAGATGGGAATAAAAACCCGGATGAGTATGAACCTGCTTGATAGCTCCTTTGCATAGGAGGTCTTGAATGGTCTCGGGAAGATGACTGAGAGAAAAAAGGAAATCTCTTTGAATCTCACTGTCTCCACGTATACTGTATAATATTTTTGAGTTGGTGAGAATAATACCCCAAGCTTTTTATATGCACTGCCCCTGCTCAGTAATTAATGCATGTCTCAGTCATGGTAACTTGGTTGTTTGAAGATCCATATAGATCTTATAGACTTGTTATGGGCATTTCTCAATTTTATTAAATGTTCTTTTATTAAAATGTCATTGCTATCATTAATTTGTTTATAAAACATGCACCTGCCAATTGCTCTGAAATCAACTCACATCAGAAAATAATGTTAGATTCCATTTGCTAATTTGGACATTATAACAGCTTTATAGAATCTTGAGTAAAACATACGTTTTCAATATAAAAATCCAGGCTTCATAAAAATAAAAGAACTTCACTTGAGGCAGGTAATTAATCAATAGATACTCACAGAGTGAACATAAGCTTCTATGTTGAAAGAAATTTCTAACTTTCCTAGATAATTCTCAATCAATCACACCATATTTTTGTACATTCTAACCTGATAAACTTAAGAAGCTGTAGCTTAAGTGGGTTAACAATTAAGTTTATCACAATCACAACAACCCAAAATTAATGTTGAGCTGTTGAAAAAAATTCTGAAAATTATTTATAAAAAACATAGAAAAAACACCTAAGCTTTTCAGAAAAAATAAACCTTCAGTAATTTTTCATGGTTCCAGCTTTCATCTCTAAACTAAAAGAGGATTAATGAAAATGTGTAAGAGGGTCTTGGTAAGACATGGGTCTTTCTCTGTAAGTAGCTTGTAACTATTCTAACATTTTGATTCTATTGTATTGTTCAAATATTGTTTTATCTAAAGAGCTCAAATTGAAACTTATATGTAATATTTTACTCCTGTGTTAATGTTTTACATAGCTAAGTAAAACTGAACATGACTACAACTGCAAGGACATAATGTCTGAGTTTCTATGAAAAGTTAGTTTTTATTAATTAGTTCTGAGTTGTAATGTCTATTCTAATGGTATGTTGTTATACAGAGATTTTACATCAAAATTTTCACAATATATATTTCTATCAATCCGTATCCTTTGCATTTCATTAGGAAAGACAAACTTTCTTTTACAGTATACTCATTTTGTGTAAATATTTCCAAATATTTCTCTAAAAAATCACAAGTTCATGATCATAAGTTCTAATATCTAAGACAATAGGTCTGACAGGACAACCTTCTTTATGAACTTTAGAAATACAATATAAAATACTATGATAACTTTGTTAATAACATCATACAGAATTAATTAGAGGAACTTCAAGGCATCAAACAACTAATCAATAACATGCTGAAAAAATATCCAATATCCAATAATACTACTCTACAATAGCAAAAATGCAATGTTACTGAAGAAACACCATTGCAAGCTTTTTCATAGAACTTATCGACAAATAGATTTGTTTGATGTTTAGACCAGAATGTAGACTGTATAACTTTTTCAGATTTAAAGACAGAATATTTTGTGTAATAACATCAAATGCTGTACAAATATGTATATGCTATTTAGTACTGTTCCAATAACTTTGAGATTTAGGCAACTAGAAATAGAAATACTGTTTAAACATAAACTATTATCTTTACCTTAAGCCAACCCATATAGAAAAAGAACTGTAAAAAGTTGAATATGGGCACATAAGTATCTATGTAGCGTTTTTCAAAACTTTTCTCTGGGTTTATCATCTGACTTCCCATTAGTGATGCTAAAAAGTATGCGTAGACTGCCAATGTGACAACCTAATAGATTAGAAATATATTATTAAGATAGCGATATGTATCTATTATTAACATGGTTTAACCAAATTTTATAATTCATTTCTCTAACAATCATTATATCTATATTTAACCTCTGCACTGAAACACTAACTTTGCTACTTCTGATCATTTTAGAATATTTCTATAAAAATTCACAGACATAAAAAAAGAAAGCTTCAACTGCTAATAGAAGTTAATACATAATATGATATCATATATAAACTTCATATAAAATCTTTAAGTTTAGCTGAATAATGGAAATGTAAAAGTGAAATGGTGGAGCTCCCAAAAATATACAAAAAAGAAACAAAAAATAGTTAACAACAAAATATAGAATTCTAAAATAAAAAGTTCTTTTCAAATTTTTTGAGTATAGTATTCTGTTAGAATGTAGATAAAACAAATTTTTATTTAATAGAAATAATGATAACAATTAAGATATTTAAAGTTCTGTGTATGGTAGAGAGGTTGAACAATATTAAAATGAAGTAATGGGAGTTATAATGTAGCATCTTGCTAATATTTCCATGTTTTTAATCAGTCCCCCTACTTAAACTTAGTGATGTACATACATATGTTCTTAATGTCTTTTTTGATTTGTTATTAAAGGTTAATTACAACTAATTGTTAACCTTGCACAAACTAACCTATACACCATAAAGACATCTTCATTGTTTTGAATAATTGAAACAAGGATGAGTTCTAACCTGGGTGTATACCAGTGGAATATTGACCCAATCATAGCTAAACATAGTTCCACAATAGCCACGATAAGTGGATATTTCCTGTAAAATTAGTAAAACAGAAATCATAAAGATGAAATAGGACTTTTTTAACTCACTCTATTTTATACTTGGTTGAATAACATATATTTTTAAGTTAAAAATTGTATATTGTCAAATTAACATGAAAAAATAAAGTTATTTGGAAAAATGGTATTACCTTTAAAAAAAATTATGTATGGATTTACATCAAACCTAAGGTACCATCAAAGAAAGACTATGTTAAATTTTCAGAAAATTGTTTTTCTAGAAAAGGTTTTTAAGCATAAAACACAACAACAAATAAAATAATATAAAATTACCCCTCCCCCCTCCCCCCCCATGAAAAAAACTTTGGTTAAAGGCTGGGAGTAAACATAGTAAGTAAATTGCAACATCACCATTTACATGGGATTTGTTGAATGAAAAGGGACAATGCTTTGGCTTCTGTATTGACAGTTAATCAAAAGAAAAATATAGCATAAATGATAGAATTAGTAGATTAACAGGTTCTTTTAACAAGACCACAGTACTTTACCTCACTTTTACTACACATAATGTTATATTTGTTTAAGCAATGAATACCAGACTCAATCTTTGTTATCAGTGTTATAATTAAAAGGTAAAAATTACAATAAAACCATCATTCATAGTAATGTTCAATAAAAAAAACTATAACTTTTAAGTTTTCTAACAGCATTCATTATACTGTAAATAATACTAGATTTAGGATACCGTTTCATTATTAGTTTTAACTAAGAATGAGTCTTTCAAAATGTAGCATTATAATTAATGTAGTTGAAAGTTTTAAATATACTGTTAGTATTTACCACTGCATTTTACCAACTTGGTAAAATATACTTTAATTTACTTAAGTATAATTAGAGCACTAGCTTGTAATAACTTAGATTCCAAAGTTACTACCATATTTGCTCAAATATAATGCATACCCAATTTTGAAAGGTTAAATTGAAGAAGATTTGTTTTTTTAACACACCAGTTGTAAAAAATGTATTTAGTAGTTGCTAAATACAATAAACAACTATCGATGTATTAAATATTTTTGGAAATATTTCATTGTCACTACCATCAGATTCATCACATTTTCTTTTTTTGAACCTTTGCTTCATCCTTTTCTGATTCCCACAACATGAAACCTTCAATGATGCTTTAATGATTTTCAGTGGTAACTTTTAGTAAAATACCTAACAAAATTGAACGTGCATGAATATAATGTACAGTAAATTTTCAAGAGGTACTTAGAGGGAAAAAAAACTTTCATTATATTTGGACAAATATGGCAATATTACTTTTATACTAAAAAGAAATGTGGTTTAATTTTCTTAACTTCCCCAAGCATATAAAACAGTCGCTTTGCAGAAGTTATACTGAAAGACATTTTGTTTAGTAAAAAATATGCACTGTAATGGAAAAAAAAACATTTATCAGATTAATTGGTATAACATGGTATATCAAATTTAACAGCATACTTTGTCTAACAAATTTCGAATTTAGCAATTAAAAAATTATTGGTAAAAAGCAAAATAAGTAATACATTTGTTGGGCCAAATGAAATGCTACAACAACACATAAGAAATATAATCAAAGATCAAACACTGATCATTTTAAATATTTAATACAAGTGTACAAAATCACAGTGTTCATTAGAAGTACTTACATCGACTAAAGTTTTTAATGCAAAGTCATCCCGAACTCTGCCTTCCATCCTAGCTTGAATACAAATATTAGAAGCCCAAATTAGAGGCATAGAGTATTTTGGGTGAGATGTTTTCAAATTCTCCATGATTTCTTTTTCATTTGCAAATAACACACCTTCGGTTCAAACAAAGAATAACATAGATACTTATTATAATCTATTTTCAGAAACAACTTGTCTGAGACCAATGGCCACAAGAATGACAAAATCACTTTTAATTTATTTTTTATTTAAATTCCAACTTAAAAATAAAATCAATAAAACTGTACAAATGTCTATGGAAACATCTGAAACAAAAATCACTAAATTGACTTGTAATTGGCTTGTTTTAGTGTGTCTCACACAGAGAAACACACCAATACTCCTAATATATATCACTGCATGAAGCTTAAAGTTTTGAAATGTTGCTTGTAATTTCTGAGTTTAATTATTCATTTAAGTGAGTAGGTTTATTCATAGTTCCAGTAAATCAGTCCAAAATTTCAATATTTTTATTAAGATTTTTGATTAGTACTCTTTATTTTATTCTAACTGCATTAATAAGTGTGACGATAAGAAGTGTCATCACAGTTTACCCTTTCATGACTAGTGAAGAAAATATCTTTACTTAGGATCAGGATACATGTAATGGCATGTAAACCAGATGTATGACGACCATAAACTTGCACAAATATTCTGCCTTAGGCAAAGATTACATTACGTATTCTATATACTTATACTTGCTTAACCCTGTTTCTGTGTCATGTACTCCTGGATTGAGGTCATATTCATTCCAAGGGATGATACAAAGATTTGTACAAATTTGTATCACTTAGGGATTTATCTCCCTTGAATATGTTTACTTAGTTTGTAATAACACTGATATATAGATAATATAAGGATTGTGGGTATCAAAGTAGGACCCTGTGTAGTAATTAATTATTCTTGCTTTAGTCCATGTCCTACACAAATGGAAACCTCTCTACCCCAGATGACAGTAGTAGAAACTAGCCAGTAGGTTAAACTTAGATATATGAACAAATTTTGTTATATTTGTACACCTGTATTTATTTACTTGTATTCCCTTTTAGATTTAATTCCATGCATACCATTTCCATACAATCTGCAAAGTATGGATACTTGAATTTATCTTCTGGGAAGTAAAGTATACTCTTTCTTTAATATTACTTTCATTAAAAGTATTGATCAGAATGCTAATATGTAGATCATACTAAAGCATAAAAACAACATTAATAAGCCTGAAAATTAAAACAATTATTGTTAATTCATGTTTTTTTGTGTGTACCTTAGATTGATAAATTTAAGCATGAAGCAGATCAATTATGTATTTAAATATATTAACATATATATTTTTATTACTTCTAAATTTTCTATTATTATATTTTTATCATAAAGATTGTCTTGCACTGTTAGCTTAGTATATGGATTTAGGACTAACATACATCTCCTAAGATGGTTGAACTCTGTGAAATTAAATTGGAATTACAGCCAAAAATACTAAATTGCTAACAATGAGGTACCAAAATATATAAAATAATACATTATAATCTGTATAAGTAAGAATGTATTTATTTATATTTACCTGATCTATATAGGTAGCATGCTTTAGTTAGAAATTAATAGTAATTAGTACAAGTGAATACCACATAAAATAAATAAATATATACATATTACTGACAATTTATATAAATAATAAAATCACAAAAAACTAACTACATTTCAAAATTAAACATATCCAATTTAAGTTTGCTTGTTTGTATCTAAGCACAAAGCTAGACAATGGGCTATCTGTGCTGTTCCCACTACAGGTATTGTAATCTGGTTTCTGTATATATATATATATACAGCTACATAAATAAATAATACATGAAAACAAAACGAAGATTAAAGCTCAGATTTCACCAACCTGCTTTAACTAAATAATCCAGTGAAGGAAATCTCTTTCTAACAACAGGACTAATACAGATGAGGGTGATGATGAAAGATAAATTTAAATAACGCATAATAGTTCTCCTCATTAAGTAGCCTCGTTCATCCTTTCATTAATCAAAACAAAATTAGTAAATATGACAGTATGTAACTTTTCATCAACATAAAAAATACAATGCTGCTGCCTAATAAACAATATTTGTTAATTATCTTTCAAATTGAATACTTAATCAAAGTTTCAAATGTTGTATGTAGTCTATACTATGTAACTAGTTGTTTCTCTCTGAATAATTTACTTTATAAAATAATTCATATTTTTAAATGCACTAAAGTATAACCATCTTTGTTAGAGTGGTACTTATGATTTAATATTAAACTAATTTAATTGAATAGAATATCTCTTACAAATAATAACAACAATAACCCATGATAAAATCAAATGTACATTGTGCAAATATACAGTAGCCTAAAATATAAATGTTAATAAAAGAAGAAAACAAACTATGAAACAACAATGCCATAGTTTTTATAATGAATAATTTTCAGTTGTATTGCTATTTCTGGCTGATAGAAACGTACTGTTATCAAAAGTAAACTAAAGAAATCCTCTTGTAGTTTAATAAACTACTTGGTGTCACAATAAAAGCAACACTGTTCTTTCTAGAATAAAAAAAAAAGAATGAAAAGCAAAAGACTAGAATTGAAACATCCTGTGGTGGTAAATTTCTTTACAATCTCTTGAGCATGTCATGCTCAATGTGATATATAATAATTTTTAATTTTTTTAGATTTATCAACAAGATTGTTTGAACATAAATCTGAAATTATTAAAATGGTACTAACTTCCAGTCTATTGAAATCCACAAATTTGACCAAAGATTTGTCACTAGAGTCAATCTTTGTCATTGCAAATACTGTGTATTTTAAGGATTAAACTGTGATCATGTCTTCTTGTTATAATTATATTCAACATTGTGAGATGTTGTATATAAATCCACTATGCATTTCTACCTTCCTATTTTAACATACTGTTACGTCTCTGTTCGTTTGTTAATTTTCTGCAGAAATTCTTTCAGAGAAACTTCAACGATACAAGTCCTTTCTTAAATAAAACTAGTTTATTCTTTCTCGTTACAAACTTTGTAATACACTTAATTTCCACAGTCACTTTAACTTAAACACATGCTATTATTCACAACGATTCATGCGCTTTACTTACGGTGCCTACCACCCACTTGACTCAACTATCCGAGTCTATATCTTCAATCTCTCTATCTGCAATTCCAATTCCGATTAATTGTCTCGCTTTATCTGGCATGCTTATATACAGGAATAGAGGGTGCCTAGCAAATACTGGATTATTCGTGATGTTCCCCGATCCTTCTAGAAACTCACCACGTGCTACCAGCATCACGTGACTTCCACTGTCATAACAATATTATTATTCTAAATTTATCATTTATTTCACATAACACATTATCAAGAAAGTTGATATCGTTTTAGCAGGGCTTTGCTCCTTGTCATTCTATTGAGGTCACTGAGGGGAAACATGACTGACATGTTGCATGTTGTGCAAAATGGTCAGTACCTTCAGTGGTAATTCAGGTGATATCTCAGGTTACAGCCTCCCCTATGCCTGAATGAGAATGACCAGTCATGTTGGTAGTACTGGTCATCTGGGTAAATCCAACTTTACCTGCAAAGTAAGGAATGTTGAACTTACACAGTGTGGTAAATGACTAGCCTGTTATATTGAAGATATAGCATCAAGAAAAACTGACCATGCATGTTTAATAATAGCAAGCAAACACTTTGTTTTCAAACAAATGAAAATTGTTCACTTTATGCATTACTTTGTGCCCAGTCTCTTTTATTCTCAGACTCAGTTACTCTGAGATTAACTACTTCTTGTAATAATATCTTGTTAAACTTTCTACCAAATGGACTTATCTTCACACTGCTCTAAAGTTAATTCAGGTCAACATTAATTTACCGTGGTAACAAAGGTAAGATAATGTGGCTTTAGAGGAACTAATTTTTGTAAGGACTGGTTGCAGTAATGTATTTTTTATGTCTGCAGCTGTAATTGTAATAAGTTTTGCAATTCATATTCATACATTCTTCCCTTGTACGTGTGTGAAAAAAAGACAAATTGTTTAACAGTACTGTAGTATTTGTGTTATTGGTTAATGATTGGTGGTGCAATAGCACTTCTATTTTGCTAATTCCCTTTGAACACCATTATTGTTAATTCATATATACAGTAATGGAAAAAGTTATGGAACCACACAAGTGATACACATACAGAAATATCAAAAACAAATAATAACTAGATGGTAAATTTATTAATGGCATAAAATATTATCACAATAAATTGAAAAAATAAGTTGTACAATACAGTTATATTTTGTGAGTTCAGTACTTTGCACAAAGCATTACTCATCGTTTTCATGTTGCTGCATATAGTTTATCCATGTATGATTGTGAAGTATTGTTCCAAATCTCCTGTGTTATATTCCCTACAAATTGGCTAAGGTTTCTGGTCACATTTGACCTTCACAGTATTTACATAAGTTCATACAGCTTCAAGAATGTTCGAAGTTATAATTTTCCTGTACTGGAAAAGTATTTTTGATATGTACTTACCTCTTCTTACATAAAAAGCTATTCTCATTTAGTGCTGCCCTTTATAGGCAAAATTTTTTGCATGCCACAAGCCTTGAGCTCCCATGTATTCTAAATTCAACATGGTTCAACTGCATTCCACATATGAATCATCATGTGACAACTCTCCACCAATAAGAGTGCGACACACCCTCTTGATGCATGTGATTCCCTCTATTCAATTCTACTGAACTATCACATTGAGTTTTGGCAGAAAATGGAAGCACTGGTTTTCATTAAGGAGGAAGTGTGAGAGAAGATAAATACCTATCAGAAATACATTTTCAGTATAGGAAAATTATAACTTCTAATATGGTACATTACCTCATCTCACATAAATAGCTAGAATCCCACACTGAATAGGTGGAGGGATTGGTGCAAGAAAAAGAAAGAAGCATCCTTCAAAAAGCATCTGAAGAACACCCTGAAAGAGTAGATCCTTGCATTAGAGGATCATACATGTGAGACCACACCACTTCTGTACCAGGTATACTCTTCACCCATTATGGAAAGAGGTGATGCAGAAAAAGAAAGAAGCATCCTTCAAAAAGCATCTGAAGAACACCCTGAAAGAGTAGATCCTTGCATTAGAGGATCATACATGTGAGACCACACCACTTCTGTACCAGGTATACTCTTCACCCATTATGGAAAGAGGTGACGCAGCCATGGGCAAAAAATAGGAGGAGCAAATCCAAAAGGGAGAGAACTATGGTTGGATAGGGATCTGAACTACACAATATCTGAATTTCAATACCATAGATTACATTAATGTGGGTGAGGATAAAAAGGATGTGCCACTAGGTGTACAGTGGCTAGGGCACGACGAACTGTAGACAGCAAGTCAACTGCATCCAAAACCCAGCTGCCGGAAGCCAGCATCCATGCAGGGACAGGGTGATGACAGGGACATGGGTAAGTCAACTGCAATTCAAAACCTAGCCATCTGGTGGGGTTAGGAAAGAGGATCATACTGTTTTCACCTCAATTTCAACAGACCGGAAGGCAAATCTCGTACCCACTGATCTGTGAATGGGACACATGATAGCAATATGATAAATTGTTTGACCAATCCGGGAAACCAACATCCGTATGATCAGCATAAGAAAGATGGTAAGGACTCCCATATTCTATTGGAAGAAAATGGAGGGAGTAAATGTGTTGGAAAGTCCGGGGGAACATCGAAACTGTAGACAGCGCAACGGATAACCACGAAAACCCGATTTTGAAAAGCAGATCATACCTGATTTATTCAAACAAAGGAATAGCAGGGATGGGCAGCTATCCCGTTCTGCTTTACCAATGATGTCCATAGATGAGTATGGTTTGGAATGGGCATATTAATGAAGCAAATCAATATTGCAAGGAAAAACCTACAAGTGATCTTGTGGAACATCCTATCTCAACAGTGAGCATTGAGTGACCATGAAAATTATAAATATGAAGTCAATGTGGACTGACAGTATGGATTTGACTCATTGCAGTATACCTGGCCAGACACCACTCACCGCAGAACAGGATCCATACAGGAAAAATGGGGAAATGCCTCTGAAAAATAACATGTATAAAACAGATAACTTACTCAGTCACAGTCTCACTGAAGTTTGAAGAATGGCCACAGGTGGAAGATGATAACCTGATGATGAAGAAACAGCAATCCAATGCAGAAAGTGAGAGATGAACATATGTGGTGTGGTCCACGTGCCCAATTGAAGAATTTCCTCCAAGAGGTAATGGAGATGAAACTCCAAGGAAAAGGTAAGGTGCCTAATTTGATGATAAGACACCTGGAACAAATTATGAAAATAAGGAGACAAGGAAGCATAAGCCAATTGATTTAACTGGTAAAGGTGGAAGGAGAAAGGTCATGATTGCAGAAAATCTGCAATGGAATGAAGACGAATGGGCACTATGGAAGGAAGCCATGCAAGAAATATAACAACAAAGAGCATGTATGGTACACAGTAGTCTATCTGGATCAGACCGAGTATATAGGTGGGAAATGTAAGGAAGGGAAATCAGCAAGAAGGAAGAGTTACCCTTATAATCCACTGAAATTTTTGGATGGAAAGAGTGATCTGGATAGAAGAGGACATATGTGGCATGATAAAGGGTATGTGAAATGTCAATAGAAAATAAATCCGACTTACAATGTCCACAGGCTAAGAGGAGAAGGAAATAAATCTTAAGGGATAAGTGAAAAATCGAACATGAGGACAGAGGTTCGAAAGGAGGTAAAGTAAGGCAGTGAAGAACCACATTGACATCCCAATATGGACGGACTTTGTGCTGTGGAGGACAACAAATCCAGAAGGAACACAACAATAGTTAGAGGGTAGGTGAGGTAAAACTTTATGGTACTGGTAAAAATAAAAAGTGTAGGATAAGTCAGCCCAATAACCTGCAATTGAGGAGATCGAAGATCCCTAGTCAAACAGCCAAG